ATCTTGCCTTGGAATTGTATCATTATTCTTGTCTCAAATAAATTGCCGTGTCATCCTGAATTTTGTCTTTCCTAATTTTCTACATTACAAAATCATCGTATCATCATGATAATATTTAGAGCAGATTGTTGAATTATAACAGATAAATTAGAATATTTATCTTGATTATTTTAAAGCGAAAAGTTATTTCAAAAATTTTATTTGCTAGAAACCTTCCCAGTACTATACTAAATAACTTCCCAAAGTTTCATGGCGTTCCAATGAGTGGTTTGGTCAGGCATAAAGGACAAACAGACCACACACACACATACATTCATTTTTATATATATAGATGATCTGGCTTTTGTTTTCTGATCGAATGAATGTTTTTCTGTTAGAATTTTGTTCCTGCGTACAAAATAATGAACTGATTTCACCCCTGGTCTCTGCTTTTTGGAATTTTTCCGATATAATTTTGTATCTGATAATCAACATGATACAGCAATATCGTCGTCATCATCATTTTCTGACTAAAAATATATAGTTTTAATAATTGATTTATATATTTTTTAAAATAGCCTATCGTCTTCCCCGTATTTTTTTACCTATGTATGGAAATTTTGGTTTGAATTAGTGAACTACTGCGAATTTGTATACCGGACATATACAGACAGACAAACATACAAACATTCATTTTTATATATATAGAGATATCTGTACCGTATTTCAAACAATACAATTATATGATGGTGATAATATTCTCATTTCACGCCAACCCCGAGACTTCGGCTGTGGAGAAATACTCCATGATGGCCCGTTGAGCCACGCTGAGGGGCAACAGCCCGAAACGCGTATTCGGTTGGCTTTTTTTTTTCGTTAAAAAAGTATTTTACCAATTTCTGGAAATCGAAAAGCACATCGTTCAGTTTAGATTTATTCCAATAGATATCAGCGCAACGTTTAGTCTCAATTATAAGGAATAAGAGAATAAATTATAAAAATATATATTTTTTAATACAATTTTTTTTTTCTCTCTAGAAAACGAAGAAAATAAAAAAAAAAACCTTTTCTTTAACATTAAAATTCGCAACCACGTTTGTGTCGTTGCATGCCAAGTTTCACCAATTTAATCTTTAAAAATATGTTAAATTATACCTTTTGTTAAAATAACAAAAATATAAATTCGCATAAAATAAAATCGTTTAAAATATTCGGCGTTTATCACAAAACAAAAGATTTTAACTCTATCGGGTTGAAAAAAATGCGCCCGCCGTCAAAATAGTTACATTTTTTGTCGGTAGATGGCGACGTTCGACCATTTCATTTACGACCTCTTTAAATTTAGTTTTTCGCCAACGGTTTAGAATACGAAGTATATATTAATTAAATTTAGGGCAAAACGGAGGGTTTTCAACCTTAGATTCGAGTGGGGTTTGAATTTTGCCTAAAATACCCGTTTTCCGTTGTTCATCAAAAGTGAAGGGTATATAAGGAAACGCGACCCTCATTTGTTAGAAGGCAGATGGCGGTAGCCGGTCAAGTGATGTTTTACCAATAGATCCTTCTGAAATCTGTGAAGTCAATTTAATATCCTGATGGCTTGTGCTTCTACATCTGTCTCGGCTCTTTTTTTTTATATTTTCAAACACGATTCGTTTTTTTCCCCAAATAATGCTCAAAAAAGAAGTAGGGTGGACAAGTGACCCTCGATTCCCGACAGCTATGAACCGGGATCAAATCCCGTATTGGACACTTTGTTTTAATATGTAAATAACCTTCACTTATATTATTTATTGTTGTAAATATAATAAGCTAGGTTGCTCTTTTTGAGCGGTACCTAGTAAAGTTATTTTGGAAATAATGCTCGCTGAGCAACGCAATACTTTTTTTTTAAGCGAGCCCTTTGTTAGAAATCTCTACAATGACCTTTTGAATTTAGAGTGATCCTACAAAGTATATTAAATTTAATTGCCATCTTTCGTTAAAATTTTACATATATAAATTTACTGGCAATGCGCTTCTTTTAAATATCATCAAATATTATCTCTACAGATCTTACAGTAAGGTCTGTAGAGATAATATTTGATGATATTTAATAGAAGCGCATTGCCAGTAAATTTATATGTTTAAAATCATACAAAGTATCTTTACAAATTCGTCTTCCCTTCACAAAATTAACAGTATGTATAACTTATTCAATACTCTAAGATCGTTAGTTGCAATGCGTTTTTTTTTTTAAAGAACCTTTTTTTAAGAACGATGATGATACTAACATCATATATTGATTAGAATCGAAGGAATGGTAGAAGAGATCAAAGGTAAACGCAAAGGATTTCTTTATTTAAAGGCTGCTAGCTTACTGACAATAATGCCCTTCAACAGACAGACTTGGCAAAATACAAGATAATCAAACAACAACAACAAAAAAGAAAAGATCAAATATGTGGAATAAACTCTGAGAGAAAACTGACAAAAACTATAACAAGACTTAGAACAAAACACTATAAAGGAATAGCAATACATCCAGATGGCACAAGAACCTATAGGACATGCAACAACTGTCCTGGTGTGGAACTAACACCTACTCACATATTCTCATGCCCAGCAATGTCCGCAGCCTTGCAGAAAATTGACTTAGACACAGCGCAGCAGCTTTACACACCCAAGATAGTGGATATTGCTGCTGATGTGATGGAGATGTATGGAGACATCTGAGACTCTTCTTTGGACACAACAACAACAACAACAGACAGACTATTACGTGAATACAAGAATACCCTAGTTTTTCGCGCCTGTTGAAGAACCTTATTGTCTGAAAGCTAGCAGCCTTTTAAATAAAGAAATCCTTCGCGTTTACCTTTGGTCTCTTCTAACCATAATATTCCTTCTATTGTAATATGTAAATATAATGGTTATCATCATCTTAATGATGATCAAGGTTCCTTAAAAACACAACTGCAACTAATACAAAACCTTAGTACTGAATAAGTATATCCCTCCTGGTCTGGAGGAAGACCCTATAAAGATGGTGGAGTCTTCCTCACTCATAAATCATTTTAAATATTCCCATTATTCTCCAATAATTTTGTAAAACCTAATTGATAAGATGTCAATAAAAGTGTTCAAATGTCAATAAGTATACTTTATTGTAATTTTTGTGAAGGTAAAACGAATTTGTAAATATACTTTGTAGGATCACTTTTAAATCAAAAAGCCATTGTAGAAATTTCTAACAAAGTGCTCGCTTGTAAAAAAAGTCCTCTTTGAGATTCCATTTTATGGTCTTTTGTCTGTCCCATGTGCATTGCACCACCTCCCAGACTTCTAGAGCGCTAAACTCAAGTCATCTGAAAGGTTTTATATACCGGTTACCTTCAGCTACAGCAAAATACTGTAAAACTATCTACTGTGTCCAGCAGGGACCCACGGGGAGGCGGATACTCATGGGACAGACAAAGACCATAAATACCATTGGTATACAATGTGGAAACTTTGTGGAAGTTTGTGTGGTGTTAAGTGATTACTGATAAAAAAAACGAGTTTTAAGTAGATTGTTAGTTGTAAAAGTTTATCTCTGTGCTAAATAATGTTAATAATTTAATAAATATTTTTTTCGCGCTAAATCTCTCTCTCTCTCTCTTTAACTTGTAAATTTCAAGTTTGTTCAAATTTTCTTTTTTTCTCTATGTAACCCGGATTCCTGGAGCGTAATAAATATTTTTTTTTTCTTTTGAAATGATGGCAAAACGATCATTTTAGCAATAATAAAAAGATAAAAAAAAGTCTTTGTTTTAACATCTATATCTACTTATATATTTGCCTTATTCTGTCTGTTTGTCTGTTTGAAGCTCACGGATGGGATTTTTCATAACCATCAGTGGTTCAGTGGTAGAATGCTCGCCTGCCATGCGGGCGGCCCGGGTTCGATTCCCGGCCGATGCATTTTTTTTTTTTGCAATTTTTTAAAACTCATTTATATATTATACAAGAATGACATCCACGGCGCCAATTTATAATTGTAACGAATAGTATTTTAATTAAAACATTTTAAAAACACACAGTTTGGAACGGGACGTTTCACAAGAGTGACATCCATGGCGCCAATTTATAATTGTAACGAATATATTTGAATTAAAACGTTTTTAAAATATATACGCACTCGGGTAAAACCCGGGCGTTGCCCGGGCCATTCGTCTAGTTTTTAATATCTGCTAATCATTTCTAGATTGAACGCGTACATAGGGAATTGACCCAAACACAAGATGATACTGATATCTTGTTAGCTGCGGCACACCACCTACATTCATGGACAAAACTTAAGGAAATGGAACGTCTTTAATGTCGCCGGTCGTCTGTTTTTTTTTTTTTTTAAGGAGACAAAGAAAATATTTATTTGTTTACACTTGGTATTCTCGTATGTCTTTTCAATAAAGGTCTGTGTGTATCAAATATATTTCAGAGTTATTGTCTAAACCCGGTATATACATGCTAAAAGGTACAACTTCTTTTGTCCATGAGTGTACATGTCTATACATATAGAAAGCAGTTGCACTTACAAAGAGGAGGCTGATCACAGTCCAGTTTGGTTACATGAACCCACTGGTGATGTATTAGATGTCATTGAAGGTGCCACTTTTCTTATTTTTAATCGACTGTATACATTCTGTTTAAAAATATTTCATTCGGCCAGTATGCTGCTCTATGATACCACTGGAGTTGACAATGGTGGACATAGGAGCCTACGGCCATACCATATTGAAAATTGACAATTAAAATAATTTTATTGACATCTTGTCAATACATGCAAAGTGCACAGTCTGCACTATTTAAAAAAAAAAAAGATAATATGGATTATATACACTATGTACAATGAATATGGCGTCTCTGCCAGCGCTGCAGAGTTTGGTGGAGAATCGCCAGTGGGTCTCCAGCGACACCACGTATTTCGCGATCTACGAAGAATACGTAGATCGCGTACTTCGCCACTGAGGAGATGGTGATGGCGTGGTCCTCGAGACCAACTGGAAAGATTCAGGACTGCTGGTTCTCGTCCGAACACCGAAGTTAAACAATGTCGGGCCCGGTCAGTACTTGGGAGGGAGATAGGAACGATCAGCTATTTCCTTCCGCCTTTTAGGTTACCAACTCCGCACCATCTTGCCCATGTGTACGACTTTTCTTTACATGAAAATCCATCTTTAAATATATGGATTGGTTTAAATTCAGAAAATCTCAGTAGCGTAATTATGAGAGAGAGAGAGAAAATATCCCGGGCTCCTGGAGCATAAATCGCCAACTCCAGGAGCCCGGGATATTTTCTCTCTCTCTCTCATAATTACGCTACTGAGGTTTTCTGAATTTAAACCAATCCATATATTTAAAGATGGATTTTCATGTAAAGAAAAGTCGTACACATGGGCAAGATGGTGCGGAGTTGGTAAACAAGTAGTTATGCCTGTCGAAGGACTGTTGAACCCTTGTATTGCCGATATATATAAAATAAACTCTTCCCTCAGATAATATTGTCTTTTATTTATAATTTTCAATATAATCCACACAGGTGTCTCACTCCGTTGGCGATGCCATAAAATAAGTTATTTTTGTTTTGTTGGCTAAACACATCTCGAAACTGATTATTTATCTCTTCATCGTACACAAATCTGACCCCCTTTGGTGGTTTTTGAATTGAAACGTAATAGGAAATGGACTGAGTCGGGGCTTTATGATGGATGAATTTTTGGAAGCATTTGGTAATAGCCGCTGCTACTGCTGTTTTAGTTCACTTTTGGATGGTGGGAACATTAGCGTGAAACATCAACCTGACATGGGCCGCGACGTTCTTTCTTCATTGTATTCTTTAAAGTTCTTAAAACTCCTGCACGATGTTCTCCTGTTATCTACATGCTCTTGCATGCAGATTGCTGTTTGGAAGCAGTGAACTCTTTATGTTTTAACTCGACTTAGAATCGGGGTTCCAGCGATGAATTTGCGTGCGAATTTATGTTTTAACTCGACTTGGATTCTGGATATCAGCAATGTGAATCAATGTATGAATCTAATGTGAACACCAGTTACAATGACACTTAAAATGTTCTGATTTAACGTCAAAGCTGTCTAGTTTTTTGAATTGCTTTGAAAAATCTGCGTTTTTTTTCGTGGATAAGTCAATATACAGTTAAACCTGTCTATAGCGCCCCCCTCTTGGGACTAACCAAAATAGGGTGCTATAGACCAGTCACTTGTAATGTAAATCGCATCGTACTACGTATTTAAAATCGGGCGCTAGAGAGGGAGGCGCTATTTAGAGGGGGCGCTATAGACAGGTTTAACTGTATTCACTAAATCCACTTCGCGCAAACATTTTGACATGTTCAATTCGTTGCCAATAAGTTTTTTAAAGATAGTTGATACTGAATATTTTCTAAATACTCGAAATGTTACGCAGAGATCTTCCATAAGTTAGGCTTAATTTTAAGCCAATTGTACAATTTTATACAATGTTTCAGATTCGAGATACTGATCTTAAGGTAGAAAACATAACTTTCAAAGATGCTTGCAATTACAAACAATAATGGAAGACAACCCCAAACCGCGAGGCAGCTGCCTTATCAACTGAGAAAAAAAAAAAAAAGACAAATGGGAAAACGAAAGAAAAAACATAGTCGAAACAATAAAACGGTCCAATTTACAAGGAAGAACATCAGGAACCTAGAATCCCGTATCACAAGGCACTAAACCTTGTGAATAAGTGGACTGCAGATGAAATGAACCTATACATATTCTTCATGATAAATATCATGACCTGGGTTGTACTCTTTTTGAGTAGCATCCAATAAAGTTAGTTTTGAACTGAAGGTAAACTCAAGGACAAAACTTTAAAAAGTTTCATATTTTAATGTCGCCTCTCGTTTTTTTTTTTTTTTTGAGACAGAGGCAATTTTGTTCACACTTGGTTATCTCGTGTATCTTCAATAAAGTTCACTCTATATCAAATATCTTTCAGAGTTATTATCTGAATCTCGATATACATGGTAAAAGGTACAACTTCCTCAAGTTTTGTCCATGAGTGTGTATGTAATAAATACTGTGAGACGTGGAGTGGAGGGGCCATCTGTGAGTGAACCACATCATTGGAACCACGCAGTTTGAAGAGATGAGGCAATAAGAGGATCGTTTTAAATCCGTCCCACTATGGACCCCCTCCCTCACCCCCAGTTGACGTAACCACAGCCCTGCTGCTGCTGATGGAGTCCGCAGATGGCTGGCTGCCCTATGCCACTCTCTCTCCTGTAGCTAGCTAGGTTTTATAACACATCCGTCAACGGCAAATCCTACATAGTTCCATACAAGTTAAAATAGATTTGAAGGGAGAAATATATGTTGTTGTTGTTTCTTATCCCCTTGTGTAAAGATTACACGAATTCCACATGAGATCATGAACTCATGGAATGGGGTATAGGGGTGCAGCTTTCGTTGATCATGGCACTATGATCCAGGCACACTTTGGTGAAATTCTGACTTTGCCTGTAATTTGAGGTCGTTTCTAACATGGAAGCCTTTGCTGCTGACTCTAATATGAGTACAGACGCAACTCCTCCGTATCCCTGGAGTACCGGGTCAGTTGAACTCAGGATTTTTAAATATATAAACACATATATAAACACGACTATTCATAAACTATATTTACATATTCAACTGCCATCTATCGATAACATTTAATTTCCAGGCAATGTGTGTTTATTTTCACATATATAAACCCTTTCATTCAATAACTTTTTTATCATCGCATTTTGAGAATTTTTAAATTCTCCATTCCAGCTAACGTAGTTGTGTAAGGTTCCCGCGAGCACTTCCTTCTATCCTGACAAAAGATACAGTATAGCGGGCGGAAAGAAATACAATCACGAACTCCCTAACTCCGATTTTAGGCGTAGTATCGCTGTATTTGAAACCTAGGTTACAAGATTTACTTTTTTTTTGTAAAATTCCCACCCTTATCTTCCGAGAATAACAAAATTTGGTTTCCATAATCGGTTTGAAGCTAAGAACTAGGCGTCGGTTATATTGCAAAAGAAGTAAATTTTGCAAAGGTTTGCCCCAATATATAGTTTTCAGGAAATGTTTCGACCTAAGTGCAATCATTGTTTGAGAAATAATCATTTATACTTCCCTGCAATACTACCAATTGTAGAGCCTTTGTTTAATTTTGAATAAATTGAAGGGGGGTTATTTGTTAGTGGTGGTGGCAGGAGTGTTCAGCTCTATGTGAGATGTAGTATCTATAAATAACTGACGGGAGAGTGTGCGATCGACTGCTGGGCAGGGGTTGTAAAAAGAGTTCTGCCCGAATGAGCTGGGGGGGGATGACGTCACACGGCAGTGGGGGGCGCGCCACTTGCCGGCGGCATGGAGGCAACGGCGGCAGCTCCCGAGGTGGGTCTCTCTCCATCCCTAGCTAGCGCTCTGCATCCCCTAGTCTCTTATCACTATGTCCATCCTTGTTTGTTCTTTATTTGACTTGTTCTTGACGGGGAGAATTCTACTTAATGTTTTATCATTCCTTCTATTTATCTCAGTTAACTTCTAGTTATGTTCCTAGATCTCTTCACTTATAACTTGTAAGACTTTCCGTAAAACTCATTCCTTGTTTTCCTTCTTTAGAAAAAAAATCTTCCAAAGTTGAGACAAGCAAGCGTGATGCATTCTATTATTGTCCATTTTCAACGTTCGTAGGCGAAATTTCAAATGAAGTTTCATTACACTAGTTTGCAGTCGAGTTCTAATGTAACTTTATTGGGTGATGCTTAGAAAGGCGACCCAGTAGTTTTCAGTGAAACTCGCCTACATTGTGAAGTTTTGACCAAAGCAGAGTTGGTTTACTTATATCTCAGGCGATAGTCTCAAAAAGGTATGCACCATTCCTGTACCTCTCTTCCGCTTCCAAATCGGTGTATTTTTGCCAAGTGTTTTTATTTCTCAGAGGCCCCCGGCGGTGGTTGGTTTCTAGCGGCCTAATTGGTTTAATTTAAGGGACCACCCGCGTTTTTTTTTTCCAGCCGGTCTGGCCGTGAAGCAATGGCACATGCTGCGCGAGGTGTTTAATGACTCCGGGCTTTATTGTAGCCAGTGACGGTGAAACATTCCTCGAGCTTGGCGCTGATTCATAGACCGACTTGGGTCCCACGGTGTGGATGCGGGAAGTTTCTGGTGAGGAAAGTGCCGCCTTCAAAGTTGACAGACAGGTCTCCCCTGTTCCTCCTGTATGTCGCGGCGGCTGCAGGGGGATTTGTGTCAATCAGGGCTGTCGGCGGGATCATACGCTTCGGCCATGTGATGTCGGCATGGTCCATGCACGCGGATGTTAACGTGTGACCACCAGTTCTTGGCAAAACAATCGCGCCATTCCTATACGTTTGTTTGGATGTGCCTTTAAAACGCCATCAATATGACGTAGGCGGTGATTGTTGTTGTTTTTGTTAGTCATGGTGTCGTCTTTGGTGATGACAGTTTTCTCTTAGTCTCAGTGCATCTGTGAGAACGGCCCTCTCTACATGCTATTATAGGCCCAGCACAGGTTGACTCAGTATTCCTTAATGTGGTGCTTAAGAATAGAGACGTGAACTTTTAATCGGGATGTAGTGACAACCACCAGATATTTTCGGCATAGACTTACTCGCCGAAATGCAGCGACTAACGACATGATTAAAGTTTACTTTTAAAAGAAAATATGACTTTTTAGTTTCCAAAAACCCTGCCATATCTTTTGAATCTGTTCAAAATGTTGGTTGAAGAGGAGCTGAAGTAGATGTTGACTCATTCCTTGGGAAATCTCTTACATGGATATAATGAAATCCAGGTATACTGTGAGATTTAAAAAGCTACATCTCGGTGCTCCAAGAACTAAACTTCATATAAATAGAAAGTAAAATTGCGATAGTCTAGCGTACTAGTATTCTTCTTACAATTATAAAATCTTATTAGTAAATTAAATTTTATTGCCCTCTATCGTTAAAATTTTACACAAATAAATTTACTGGCAATGAAATTTATAAAATCTTATACAGATGTATTGACGGCACATTGTAGATTGTGTATGGAATATAATCTTGATTTTGTGCTGTTAAAA